GGGATTCCAAGATCATCTCTAGTGGCACTAAGAAAACCATGTATATCATGGATGTCAATGAGATGTTGAATCTCCTTGATGTTGTATCTCCCTCACCTAGCCTTCCCGCCATGTGTTCTTCATATCAGGGGTCCTTTTTGGATCTCTGCTTTGACTTGGTGATTCAGTTTTTTTTCCTTGGAGTTGATGTCATTTCACTGAGCACAAGACCTTGTGCTTACAGTCAATCAACTCTTGGATCTCCTAGCCATTCTCATCAAACCAGTCTTGATGTTTCCAGGCGTGAATCCAAGTGTCTCTTTGCAGACAAAGGTGACTGTGGACTTCAAGGCACCCCAAGCACTGCTGGCATTCTCCCATTGTTGTAGATAGGAATTCTTCAGTTTTTTGTTGAGGCCTTCATGGAAGAGGTCTCACTTGATTGGGTTTTTGAGTCCTTTGATGTTGACCTTCCCTTGACATTGCTTCTGCTGCAGCCATCATTTGGGAGCCAGTTTGAGTGACATGACTAAGCAGATAAGTCCATGATGAGTCCAGCAAACATCAGCTCCTGTAGACTCAATAGCCTGAGTGATGTGAATATCATAGCAATCCCGGGCACAAACGATGATGCAGTCAATCAAGTGCCAATGCTTAAATCGTGGGTGTTGCCATGATGTCTTGTACCTGTTTTTCTGGAGGAGCAGGGTGTTGGTTACGGTGAGTCTATGTTCCATGCATTTGGTCAAGAGGAGGATGCCTTTGGAGCTGATCTTTCCTACTTCTTCCTTGCTGATGATTCTGTTTCAGAGGTTTGAGTCCCTTCTAATTCTAGCATTGAAATCACAGAGCAGAATAAGTCTGCCTTCCTCTGGATCATCAGAGAGGACTTAGTCAAGATTGGCGTGGAATTTCTCCTTGGTTTCATCGACAGCATCAAGAGTTGGGTCATATGCATTGATAGCAGTGGCATGTTGTCTCCCTGCCAGTTTAAGATGGAGAGTCATGAGGTGCTCATTAAGTCCAGTAGGAAATTAATTGAGTTGGTTTATGAGTTAATTCTTAATGGCAAAGCCAACTCCCTGAAATCATAGTTCTCATTTCTGTTTATCCTTCCAGAAGAGGGTATAGCCACCTCCTTGTTCTTTGAGCTGCCCATCTCCTGCTCACTGGGTCCCACTTAGTGCAGTGATGTCAACATTTTGTCACCTGAGTTGTCAAGCCATGATTACAGTGTGGCACTCACTATTAGGATTGCCCGGGAGGGTCCTGATGTTCCAAGTCCCAAAAATGATTGTATGCCTTTGTTGATTTTTACCACAGTAAAGGTGATCCCACTGGATGCAGTGAGAAAAGAGTCAGGAAAAGAGTGGGTAGGCAGACTATGTTTAAGCCACTTTTTCTAGTCCCCTCCCCATGTAGAGTGAGCGGAGAAGATCCTAAAAAGGGTTGCTCACTCACAACTACAGAATCACACCCCTGCCAATCCAAGTGCTAAATGACCTTCTTGTAACTGCCACCTACATGCCAGTTCATGACTGGGAGCTTCCAGGCCTCACAAACCTGTTCCTGTCATCACTAGTTGGTTGCCAAAGGGCTTGAAAACTGCTAACGCCGTTTTCGTGGAAGGCACCTGTGTGTGATTTCTTTTATCATAGAGAAGCTACTGCTTATCAGCTTCCACATGGTTCTTGACAGAACAAGGCCCTGATCCAATGACAAGAAGGCCAAAGCCATTGGAGATCTCCCTCTGCTGCAGTCTTCATCCACTTTCACAGCTGTTGGGATTCTAACATCCTCTTCCAGCTGCTCCACCATTGAGGACTTGTAGCTCCACGGCTGGGGGCTAGACAGGCTTATTATAGTGGTAACCTGTACTGACCATGTCACAGCACCATTAGAGGATATATGTGACTTTTCAGGAGAAAGAGTATTGCCATCTGCTGTCCCCACCACATCCTGGTGGTGCTGCTGCTGCTTGGTCCACAGCTGCTTATTCATCAGAGTAAATTCTGCTAATTTCACAGCTAACCTTCCCCAAAGGTCATTCCACTATCTGCCACCTGTGGACATGCTGGGTAGCACTATAGTTCTGCTGCCAAACATCACAGTGGGTGCGTCTACATGTGCAAATTCTGCTGGATGGGTTTAACCAGAGTAATTTACTCGGAAGTAAACCCACCCTGGGCAGGCGTCTACACATGTGCCCATTTGGGGCTGGCAGGGAGCATGGGGCTAGGAGACGGCTGTCTCCTGGTGGGGGCTGTGAGATTGTTCCCTGCTCCTGGGAGCTGCCTGCTGCTGGAGTGGGCTCCAGTGGTGTCTGTATTTCCCCATCTATAAAAAAAAGGCTGTGTTGACACTTTGCTTTCTTTATAGAGTGCATTAAGATTTATGCATGAAAAAGCTAAATACCAGTAATACACAACTGTACCTATTATAGTGTAGGAAGTAATGAAATCACAGCCTAAGATATGATTTTGCAGCAGAAATATGACTAAATGGTTAGAGGGTAATGCAAATAAATAAATAAATTTCTCCTCAGTGTCTGGCTTTTGGAGATGTCACAAGTGACTCATTATTTCTGTATATCTAACTTAGAATCTCTCCCAAAACAGAAAATGACCCATGAGGCTCCCACACAACTGTATAGACTGACAGTACCGGTACGCATTTGCACCTCTTTTTTTCATTCCTGTAGACCTCTTTACTGACACTCGCAACTAAACATGATCGTCATTGTATGTATCTGAAAGCCAGCAGTTTCAGATGCATGGGGTTGAATGGGGATGAATGCAGTTATTCCCATTCATCTTTTGTTCCATTGTATCCCAGATAAAGTGAAGAAGAAAACCCCTCAAAATGTACATTCTGTTTCAGCTTACCTGTTTCCAAGATAGAAGATGCAAAATGCAAAAAAATAAAAATAAAAGGGAGGGGGCAGGGATGGGAGGAGTTTAGAACCATCCGTTAGTTCAAGTTATTTGGCAAGCTTGGAATGACTTTCTTAATCTTGCCTTGCTTGATAGAGAATTCTAGATATTTCCCAGGGCTTTAATGTCTGTCTGTCTCTTTCTTTTTTATAAGTATTGTATGCACACAAAAACTGCATTTAAAAGATCTTTATTGAAGTTGCAAAGTCAAGAGCTCAAAGTCAAGAAATGTCAGATATGAGGCCACCTGTGCAACCATAATTCAGCCCTACTGCACATATGAGGCAGTCTGAAGTTCCATAATTGTATACTATTTTTACAGGACCCCTGCTTCAGTGCACAGAAGAAAAAGTGATCACTGTATGCACAACTATTCTATATTTTGTTTTATCTTCATTGTTCAATATCAGGCTTTTCTTCTTATTTTACTGCACTGATCTGAAGACAGTATTATTAATTTCCTCATGGTTTCATCACCATAGTATTCATGTGTATCACCCTAGTATGTGTTTCACTGCTATTAATTAATTTCTCTATGGTGAAGGGGGAAGAAGGTAGATGAAGAGGTCACCTCTTCATTTTGCAGATAAAGAAGTAGCATGCACATATTATGTTTAAAGTATGTATGAATTTTGGATGCCCAATTTGAGACACCTAGAACTTGACTTTTTTTCCAGAGTACTTAGCTTTCTGTAGCACTTCATGCATTCAGTGCACAGCTCCCACTGACTACTCTTTCAGCCATTCATGCTCGGGGTTTCTTCAAGTCAGACTGCAGAGTATTAAGTTGGAAACCCACAAAATCAGGCATGCAAAGTTAAGTAAAACATCTGTGAAAAGTTTAATTTAAGTGATTTGATTAGCATTACAGAGGAATTCTGTGATGGAGACAGGAGCAAAATCAGTTCTCCAGAGCAGCATTCAACTTTCTTAACTTTTGAGGACTTCACTTTGCAACCTTAAAAATATTATTTTAATTGTGTGGAGGGGTGTGGCGTGCATGTAGATTTGTGTAATTTCCCAGGTATTTTAAGTAACCTGAGGGGGGGCTCCACATTTCTTCATGTGGCATGTTACTGATACCCTCTGTGGTTCATCAGCCAGGTTGGAACCTTCTGATCTACCGCACAGACCTCTGCATTTGAGCTAATGGAAGAAATGACAGCAGCTTTAGTGTGGGCCAGGCCACAGTGTGGGCCACGCCACAGAGAAGGATTATCACACCATTTGCCAATGGGCTTGACCATTATTTCCCTATATCAGAGAAATGGTGAGACTTAAGAAACTAGGGTTTCCCCATGCACTGGTTCTTAATCCCAGTATGTTTCTCCAGCCAATCCCAGTCTCCTCATTACGCCAGCTCCTTGTCTGAGCTCAGTGTGCATACCTCCAAACAAATTTCTTCCACAGCCTCCATTTTTCTCACTGGTTCTCAGTCCTGGCATCCCACCTCCCTGGCTTCCCAGCCTCAAATTCCTGGTCCCATTAGTTCCAGCCTCTCCACCCACCCAGTCCTTCTTTAATCACTCTCACCCCAGCTCCAGTTCAGGCGCTCCTTGATTTGTCACCTCTATTTCCTGCCCCAGCCAGTCCAGATAATTTATTCTCTGCCCTCCAGTCCCCCATGTATTTTGTCCAAAACTACTC